ACAAAACCAGTTCTCTCAGCCTTTCTTAATAGGGTGCTTTTTCACTGTATCACACAAGAAATAAAAGAATGAGAACTAGAGAGAGAGCAAAAAAGTGGATCCCACTTCCTTTTAGAGAAAAGAGAAGACAGTTTAATCTAGGCTGAAACTTATTTGGGAGACCGAAACATGTATGTATCCTACCAATATACGTATAAAGTCACTACTAGGAAATAAAAAGGTTCAGAGGCAACTATGAAATGATCACACACAAAATCCTTTCTGAGGATGGGAGCTCTGCTGAGCCTTTGGCTATCTCAAAGGCAAACGTTTAACCTGAACCATCTCTTTAGGCTCCCTTGACAGTTGGTCAAAGGAGACTACAGAGCTCTTGCAGAGTGTATCCCTCTCTGTAAGGACATTCATGCTCTTTACAATAGGGTGAGTCAGAGTACCTCCTGGATGTGCCCTGTGACTGTTGGAAACTCAGATGATTGGTAGATGGCAAAAGTTAGGTGAGCTGAATGCCACAGTTGTTGTATTTTGAGATGGTGTCCCATCGATGTGCGTTAAAGCCGAATCACACTGCTGTAATGCTGTATGTGCACAGTGACATCAAACCATAGTGCTGTTGTAATGTAGTTTTCTGTGTCATCATTTAGTGACAGATGTGGCTTCCAAGCTTTCCAAGACTCTGTCATTTAAGTAATCAATTTTTGCTGTCTTCACAATGAAAAGTTGAGAAAAGTGTATACTTAATAACACTTGTATTAATCTTTCATTTGAAGGTTTCAAATACTCTTTTTCTTAATTTTATAAATGCAGAAATTAGGGTATAGCTGGATAAAGCTTTTTCTTCTAAATTATACAGCCATTCAATATACACACTATAACCCCTATGTTCTCAGTCCTGTGGCTGTACTTGGATAAGGTGATTGTTTCCCTATTAGTTTATGGACAAGGAAAACTGTGACATTTACACATGCGAATCCACCTCCTGTGTGATGCAAAAGCTGGTTTGAATTTGACCACATCTGCATTTGGATTGCTTCACTCACTTTTGCTGACAGCAACCTGACACTGATACAGGAGATTCAGGCTTGATCTCTGACTTCGTAAATGCTTTCATTTAGGAAGTCATCAGTGGCTACCTACAAAACCGGTTTTTATTTGTTAACAGATCGGCATTGAGAAATCTCAGCATGACAGTGTGCCACAGAGAACAGTGGCATCTGTAGCAGACTGTATGGGATGAAGAAATTCAAGGTTAGGGAGAGAAAGAAAGTACTAAAGGTCATAATAGTTCCTGATATAAATGTCCTCATGTGGGTCAAACAGGATTGTGCTGCAGCACAGTATTCTGCTGTGTTTTGTAGGAGGACAGCTGTGAATAAACAAGAGAGAGATCTCCAGATAGATTCCACAGGCTGGACAGATTATGTTAGGGATCTTGATTTTGATTGAGAGCTGTGCAAAGGTCACAGTAAGTTAGAGACTTTCTCAGAGCAGTGCCCAGATGGGGAGACAGTGAGCTATGTTCCAGTGGGTGCCTGCTCAGCGAGAACACTGACCTTCTGGGCTGCAGAGGTATAATGGATGCAGAAAATCTTTCTGTAACATTTGGTGACATATGCCAATTATCATAGAACTTGTTTATTACTTACCGAATCAGAATTTACATTGTCCTCAAAATGTCCCCAATCTGAAATTCAATACCCGAACAGAGAGCATCAGGACAGCTGAAATTTCTGGATAAGGAGGTCATTAATATGGAAGGCAAAGATTGGTACAGCTAGGACAGAGCTTTGAGGTCAGGGTCTAAGCTGGGCTTCCCAGGTGGTGAGGAGTGTTGTACAGAGGAATGGTTGAAGTTACCAGCAAAGAGCCGGTGATTTAGACACAGATGGATTTACTCTACATGTGCTTCTCTGGGGTCTTATGGACATTACTAAAGCGGAAGCTAGCAGTGTCAATCAAGTCACAGAAGCTGGAAAGCTCAGAAATTGCATTCCATGCAACAGCACATCTTCTGAACTAGCATGGCTTTCTTGTAAGCAAATGCTGGCACCTCAATGTGAAATCAAGAACTCTTCTGGGTTATTTCAATGTTTTTATCATCAAATTACAATGTGTGGGCTTTATGCAATGATTCAGCCTTCCAATATCTAAAGGGGGCCTGCCAGAAAGCTGGGGGGGGGACTTTTTACAAGGGCCTGTGGTGACAGGACAAGGGGTAACGGGTTTAAATTGAAAGTGGGGAGGTTTAGCTTGGATATCAGGAAGAAGTTCTTCCCGGAGAGGGTGGTGAAGCACTGGAACACGTTGCCCAGAGAAGCTGTGGATGCCCCATCCCTGGAAGTGTCCAAGGCCAGGCTGGATGAGGCTTGGAGCAGCCTGGTCTAGTGGAAGGTGTCCCTGCCCATGGCAGGGGGATTGGAACTAGATGGTCTTTAAGGTCCCTTCCAACCCAAACCATTCTATGATTCACTGAACCATTGCAAGAGACTCCTGAATTTCAGAGAGATGCTCATACTGTTCTTGCTATGCCAGCCTTCCAGGCTGTCCAGGTCTCTCTGTAAGATAGCTCTCCTGCCCGATGTGTCTGCCTTACCAACAAGTTTGATGTCAGCAGCCAGCTTTGTGAGAGTGCTTTCAATCCCATCCTCCAGAGCATTTATGAAGATGTTGAATAACATGGGGACCAGTATCCGTCCCCAGGGGACCCCACTTGTGACAGGCTGCCAGACCTGAGTAAAAGCCATTGATGACCACCCTCTGAGTGTGCCTTATCTGCTAATTTCTCACCAATCTCACAGACTGTCCATCGAGTTTATATCTTGCCAACTTGTGTAAGAGGAGGCGATGGGAAACAGTGGAAAATGCTTTGCTGAAGTCCAAATAAAAAAACACCCACTGCCCTCCCCATGTTGATGGAAAATATTACTTTGTTGTAGAAAGCCATTAGGTTAGTTAGGCATGCTTTTTCATCCCTTTATCACTGATGTTCCAGCGTTGTCTTCTCTTCACTGACATGTAAATAGCAGTTTTGGTGAAGGAAATGAGTAAAGGCAACCGCCTAGGTTATGCAGGGGTTGGACTGCTAGGTGGTTGGAAAAGGTATGGCATGGAGGGGGAAGATTTTTAAACTCTGCTTCAGCAAGTACATCAACTTCTTCTGGTTCTGGACCCTTTCAGGTATCATGATTACTTACTTCCCTGCTTTACAGGACAGATCTACCCACGAAAGGTTAAGCTGTTAGTCAATTCTTTCTCTTTGTCTCTAGAATTTAATGAATAGAATTAAAACATGAATTCTGGCTTCTTATTTTATTCACAGAATGTGAAAAAGAGCCTGGGTCCTTGCTGTGGATATTTGTGATGGTTGGAAACATAGTACGAGGAATGGGTGAAACTCCGATCATGCCTTTAGGCATTTCGTATTTGGAGGATTTTGCCAAAGCAGAGAATTCACCTTTCTACCTTGGTAAATGTAGCCTATTGTGATAACTCCACTCCCCCAAACAAACACACACATAAACAAAAGCAAAAGAGAGGTTTACTTTGACTCTCTTCAGTCCAATAAATGATGAGGGAAGACAGACATTACTGCTTCATCAAAATAATAATACTGTGGAGATTATAATTTAACTAGACATGAACTTGTTGGCATGAGGTCAATTTTAGGGGCAAATCCCTATTCAATAGGGTTGTCTTAAACATAGAGAACAATTCCAAGAAAATAATTATGCCCAGGTTCTAATTTAGTCTGGTTTCTCCTTTTCATGCTTTAGGATGTCTGCATACAGCAACTATAATCGGTCCCTTCCTTGGTTTCTTGTTGGCATCGTTCTGTGCAGAACAGTTTGTTGATCTGGGATCAGTAGGTGCAGGTAATGGATGAATATATGGCATCTTATAAATCAGTAGGCATGATGGTGTATTTGTCAGCACTAAAAGATGTTCCTTTGCTAATATGAGGTGTCTTAATTTTATCTGAGTTTTCTGGTGTTTCTTTTAGCATGGAAAATATGTGTATAATATTCAATTCAATAAAAGGCCTGAGTTCACACATACACAAATGAATCTGCATATAAATTATTTGATGAACAATTGTGTCATCTGGTTTAAAATAGGAAAGGATTAGAATTAATTTAATACAAACCACTGAAATTTGCCATAAAATTAGCAACATTAGAAAAGAAGCCTGGAGATGATACTCTTCCATCAGCCTCATTTTAAGAATCTTTAAAATGTTTTCAATATATCACATGTCAGAGATGACTAGGAAAACACAATGCCAGCAAAGAATGTTTCTGAAATAAGATGTGTGGTTTTGTTTTTGTTTTTATAGAGGACATAACTATAACAGCTACTGATGCCCGCTGGGTTGGAGCGTGGTGGCTGGGCATTTTGATTTGTGCATCAGTGAATCTTCTTGCAGGAATACCTTTTTGGTTTTTCCCCAAGTCACTTGTAAAGGAAGGAGAAACCAGTGAACCTGAGGAGACAAGTAAAAAAGGTGTAGTACTATTGCAAGAAAATGAAGACAAACAGACCATGTATGAAATTGCTAAAGGCAAGTTATATTGCATTTTATTTCCTTCTTAATTTATACCTTAATATCCGAATTATGTCTGTGGGGGTTTTTTTAAGTAAAGATGGGTCCAAGATATGGAATGCATACTCTGTTTTTCATCTCTCTGTAGTACAAAGGATTTTAGCAGGGATTTAGAATGGTTCCTAGCATAGGAAGAAAGCTAATTCCACAGATTCATGATGTGAATTCACTCCTTTCCCCCTCCTGCATTTCAGGGGTATGTAGATCTGGATCTTTTCTTCCTGGTAGAGGATTAATACACTGAAATCTGGTTAAGAATATTATGCCTCAGTGAGGTCTGGACAGGTTGCAGATATTAGTTGCTTTTACCCCACATTCACTGTGCAGAAAAGCAGAAAACCAACACAAGTCTTTTGCATTTCTTGGAAAGGTTCCCAGGTCATACTGTGGGTCCTAGTACTCCAGAGTCCCTTCAGAGCTTATGTTTTCATTATCCTTACTTCCTTGTGTTGGTGTGAATGTCCACTGTCCCTGAATATCCTGAATTAAGAATCTTTTAATTTCACAGAATGATTAAGGCTGGAAGGGACCTCCAGAGATCAACTGGACCAACCCCCTGCTTGAGCAGGGCCACTTAAAGCCGGTTGACTAGGACATGTTCAGACAGATTTTTAATATCCCCAAGGATTTCAAGTTGAAAATTGAAGTCTTTACAGTTAGAATTTAATCTCTTCCTTGGAAAACTCTGATTATAAACTGCATGGCATATATAAATAATACATCCTATTTATGGTGTTTTGGATATTTGACTCATTTTTGCAACACTTGCATACAGATCCTCTTCTAGTAAGATTCTTGCCTACCTCTGAAAGAGATATATCCTTGCAACGTGGTGCCCACATCCACTGAAGCATGGTCACTGTTTTACAGATGCATATGTTTTTCTGCAAAGTTTCTTGACAACAGCTCAGCACATTAATTGAGAACGGTAGACAAGGAGGAATTCTGGTGGGTTGGGTTTTTTTTGTTTGTTTGGGTTTTTTGTGTTGTGGTTTTTTTTTTTTTTTTAATGGTGCAGATCATGATTTAATGGTCATTATGCAGAGAAAAGACTTGTGTAAATTAGTTTCTCACATGCTTACTTGACTGAAGGCTGGCAGATCCAAACTTAGAGTATGGTGGGAATAACTATGGTCACCTTTCTCTTCAGGCCTCTTCTGCCCCATCACTGACAGTAGCAATAACCAAAATCAGTAAACAGATCTCAGAGGATAGGTTCTCACAGCCAGCATCTAGTGTGTTTTCACCCCTTTCCGCTGTACCCTGCCCCTTTGCATGACAGGTTTAGGAAAGGGGGTTTGGTGAATGCTCTGAGGGCACGGGGATGAGAAAAAAAGGAATAGGAAGTGTGGGGGAGTAGCTGATGCTACAAATCTGTAGGGGAAAAAGTCAGTCACTGTACATCTAAAAAGTCTCAGGGAATTTTATAGTAAGATTATTACTGTTATTTTTTGATAAGCAGCATCATGCATTAGTGTGCATGTGTGTGTATGCTGTTACCTTTGTGTAGAAGAGACATGTTGGGGTAGCCTGGGATGAGCTTTGGCCTGTGCTGTCTGGCAAAGCACAAGAATTAGCCTGATCCAGTTAAGGACCATTTCTATTTCCCTCTATTCCTCCCACTGAGCAATGGGTGAGTCATTTCATAAAGTGTCACACTAACTCATTTCATTATTTCATTCCAGATTTCCTCCCGTTCTTCAAGGTTCTGTTTCGCAACCCGGTTTATATGTTATTTATATGCATAACCGTGTTACAGTTCAGCGCCTTCAATGGAATGATTTCCTTCATGCCCAAGTATTTGGAACAGCAGTTTGGAAAATCTGCATCGGATGCCATCTTTTTAATTGGTATGTTTGCATTTTGCTTTGCTTTGTTCCACCAAGTAGTGACATATCTATGCAAATAAGCTAATACTTACATATATATTCATGTGTACACGTATACATATCCTAAGGTCAAATGAGACCTTCTGCAAATCAGAGATTCCACACTACAAAGTATTTCTAAATGATCATGCATTTTCTGGTAAGCATCTCCTGATTTTCTGTGTAGAATTCCCATCTTTTGAATTGGCCCAGAAAGTTCAGCTGATGTAAAACTTGTACCACTGATATCAGAGATGATATGCTAATTTGCATCAAGAGAGTGTGGGCCCAATTATCTTGATTATATTATCTTGACTAAGAAATATACTGTGAAGTAGAGGGTGGATTTCATGTTCATGAAAATGACATCGCTAAAACTTGAGACATAAATGGGTTGAACCTATGCACAGCCAGAATTGTCAGCATTCTTCAACTCTTGCCATCATCTCCGCTCCTCAGGTATTGGTCTTAGGCATTTTGAATGCCTCAGGTCCTCTTTTATTTGCAGAACTCCGTGGAAGGAAAGCATTGACCAAATAACTGTCTTTTTTGGTCTCTTTATCAGTTTGTCTTTTGGGGAAATGTTAATGGCAAGTAATTGTAGCACAAAGCAAATATCCTGAAGATGTAGGAACCTTTCTATGGTTCCACTTTATCATGTCTTAAATTCTCAGTTCGTTTAATTGCTGTGAGTTAATTACGCTAGAATTTAATCATTATAGAAGAAACATCTTAAAATACTTCCACTTTGTCATGTCTTAAATTCTCAGTTCCTTTGTTTAATTGCTGTGAGTTAATTACGCTAGAATTTAATCATTATAGAAGAAACATCTTAAAATACATCTACCTGTATTTCTGTCACTTAACTCAGTGCTCATCCTTCACAGTAGCTGTACCATTTCCTTAAAAACCTGCCACACAGAATGTCCCAGACCTTATTTACTGTTCTCCTCTGTCACTGGTGTTTTGAAGCTGTGCATCCAAAGGCACGTATCTATCATATATCTTATCTGTGTTACATTGATATTGCACTGCTGGGTTGCTGTTCAGACAGCTAATTGCTAAATGTCTTCAGCCTTTGCTTCGTTAAAGTATCAAACAGCAAAGAAACAGGAGAGCATGTTCAGTAATTTCATGTCAAAGCTGGAGGTCTGTTCCTCCTTTGTGTGATGCTCAGTGTGCGCCAAGACATAGTCCACTGAGTTACCTTCCTGTTGAGCGTCTCTCGCAACCAGGGAGGCTGTGTTGAAACCCTGCTGTTGACTTTGGCAGATGTTTAGGGTGTGCAAGGGAACTAGTAGAGGCCCATTTCTGACTGTAGTTAAATTATTCAGTCTCAGGCACTATATGAGTCTTTGCCAAACACAGTCTCCCCCTAGGAGTGGCTTTGGTGCACTCTGACTTTATTTTAACATGGAAGTTTCACTTCTTTAAATAGGTGTTTACAACTTACCAATCATATGCATTGGGTATTTCTTTGGAGGCTTATTCATGAAGAAGTTCAAGATAAATACCTATCAGGCTGCGAACATAGCATTTTGGGTATCTTTACTGGAATACCTTGTCTACTTTGCTGCCTATTGGACTGTCTGTGATACTTCACCGGTGGCTGGCCTAACAGTTTCCTATGAAGGGTATGTTCTTTTAGACACATGGTGACTTAAATCCTAAGGCACTGGAATGATTTTTCTTGTCCAGAATCAGCCAGGGAATTCATAGATTTACAACATTTTAATTTAATGATCTATATTCTTAAGGCCTTTTGGTTGCATGAGACAATAGGTCTATCTTCCGTCATCTTTGTTTTAAACAGTAAAAAAGATATATCAAGACTCGTGTTCATATTAATTCTTTTACTCATAGAAGTATACGTTCAAGTCATGTAACTGCAGGTAAAAAGTAAGAAGTTGTTGATGAAATTAGGCATACATGAATACAATTTCAAAATTACAGGGGGACAAACCCCTTTATTTTATGCTGTTTACTGTAATTTGGCTGCTGTCGAGTTATCAGAGGATATTATATCTGCACTTTCTTAATTTGAAGCCTGTCATTAATCATTGGGAGGGGTTATGTGTCGGTAAAATGTACAGGTAGCTCTAAGGCTCACAGACAATCAAGAACATACATGCCATAAATGAGAAAAATGTAGTAGGATATCCATACCTGTCTATGAATTGATAGTATTAACATAATGTAATATAATATAGCATCCTATACAAGACAAAAAGCATGACTCCAGGATAGGAGCATGTAGAGCTGTGTCCTAGATCAACACCTGAACAGGAATAGAATCCTGACCATTATGGAGGGTTACTGTAGGTATGTCATTACTGAAATATTTATTCATCTTCTAAATGTATTTCAGAATAAAGCAAGTTTCATATACAGAAAATACTCTACTTGCTGGCTGCAACAGTGACTGTGATTGTCCACTTAAAACATGGGATCCTGTTTGTGGGAACAATGGAATCACATACGTATCACCTTGTCTTGCTGGGTGTAAAGCCTCAAGAGGAACTGGAAAAAGTGTGGTAAAGCATAGATTTTATTGAGCTGTAGCTATGAAGTGTAGTGGGTGAGAAATAACTGTAACAATATAGAGTGGGAAATATCCATACATGTACATTTAATTGGATATATAAATGATAGCGTTGGAAAAAGTCATTGAGTGACAACAGAAATTCCAAACTCAATATGAAAATTAGTTTAAGTTTAAATTAAAGACTGTAATGAAAAAGCTTCCTTTTTTTCCTAGTAATTAAAGGAATCTTAGATGCTCAAAATAGAGCGAGAAGTTATTCTCAAGGCATTGCCAGTTGGAAACCTGAACATTTCAGGCAAAATGAAATACTATAGCATGGAGTTAATCCCTTTTACCCTGTAGATTTAAACAAGTAACCAGGTAGTATAGAACTTTTATTATCTGTATTAATAATGCATTTTCCATTTAAAAAAAAATGTTCTAATTAGATGGAAAACACACAAAAATTATGAATTCAATAAAACCCCAAATCATAGAGATTTTAGAAAGCCTCTGTACTTTACAATGTTCTTGAGAAGTATTAGATGATAGTAAGGGCCAGACATGCCTTTGCTCACCTTGGTTGACATTTGAGAGCCCTTATTCTGGCAACAGTCTCAATGATTTCAGCAGAAGCAAGTGTTTGAGTGAGCATATTGCAACCCAGCCACAACTAAACATCTCCGGTTTCTTCACTTTTGGCATGTGGAAGCCCACACAGTAGGTTATGTAAAAGAGGGGCATATCTATTGGCACTGAAAGGACCACATAACCAATCTGTGCTGGGAAATATGAGGGCTGTCTTGATCACGGCCTCCGTGAGGAAGCCCATCCACAGCTATAAGAGAACCATAGCTCGCTCCCACTCTCTCACCCCGGACACCAATAGGGATTATGGTTGGACCTGTGCCTGACAGACTGGGAGAGAGCCCGCAGTGCAGCACTGCATGTGTGACATGCTGAAGTGCAGGAGAGAGTGAGCTCAGTGCCAACTGTGTGAGTTTCACACTCCGTCTGTGAGTTTTGACAGGTCTGTGTGATTAAAATACTCTTTTGACAGGTATTTGAAAACTGCACCTGTGTTGCAGCTTCAGGGTTTTCATCTCAAAATGGGTCTGCAATTCTGGGACAGTGCTATGGAGAAGAAAACTGTGACAAGATGCTTCATTATTTTTTAATATTGTCATTAGTCTGCAGCTTCATTTTTTCTTTAGCAGCCATGCCTGGGTACATGGTCTTAATAAGGTACAGTAAAATATACTTTTCTTAAGAAACTTACTGGACTTTGTATCCTGAGTTCAACCCCCTCCCTCCCCGGGAATTAAAAATGTGTTAGTTTGAGTATGGAGGGAGGAAGAATAGAAAGGTCTTCAGTAATTTCTGTCCTGTGTTAAGATTCAGTGTCATGTCAGCTTTATAACCTCTTGTTGCTTCTGGCGGTCGCTGCATCCTGGATTAATGTAGGACCACTGAGTCAGTGCACTGAGATACTGAGAGGTGTGTGATACCCGTGCGTTTATTGATTGCATCAACGTGATGTTGATTGAGGCACAATGATCTTGCACTTTGCGCTGGCCTCAGTGCACATGGTTGATACCGGGACAACAGCTTTTTCTTTTCTGATTTGGCAGTCCTAGGTAAGGAACTTCAGTAAACATCAGCTATTAAGGATAATGAACTCTTTCAACTAGTGACCTAATTAGAACGGTTTGGGCCTAATATGATGAAGGGTTCAATTGAAAAAGACAGAGGTAAATATTTCTTAGTAATGTCACCTCTACTAATTGGTGTACGATGTAATTATCATACAGGTCTCTAAAGCCTGAAGAAAAGTCATTTGGAGTGGGCATCCATGGACTAGCTTCAAGAGTGTTTGGTAAGAAAAGCTCTAACACACTTCAGAAGCAGAGTTAGGTCTGATCTGGAGTCAGATAAGGATCGCACCAGGGATGTGAGCATGGCAGACAACTTTACTTCTATGAAGCACCTTTGATCAGGATGGATTTGGGGTATTTTTACAGATCTATGCAACATGGCAAGTTAGAACAGCTTTCAGTTTGCATTTATTTATACACTCATTCACTGGCTGGATGGTCGCACTCAGAGAGTGGTGGTCAGTGACTCAGTGTCTGAGTGGAGACCAGTAACAAGCAACATTCCTCAGGGGTCGGTGTTGGGACCTGTACAGTTTAACATCTTTGTCAGTGACATGGATGATGGCATTGAGTGCACCCTCAGCAAGTTTGCTGATGACACCAAGCTGTGTGGTGTGGTTGACACGGTGGAGGGAAGAGATGCCATCCAGAGGGACCTGGACAGACTGGAGAGGTGGGCCACTGCCAACCTCATGGAGTTCAACAAGGCCAAGTGCAAGGTCCTGCACCTGGGTTGGGGCAATCCCAAGCATAAGTACAGGCTCGGTGGAGAATGGATCGGGAGAAGCCCTGAGGAGAAGGACTCGGGGGTGCTGCTGGATGAAAAGCTGGACATGAACCAGCAGTCTGCGCTGGCAGCCCAGAAAGCCAACCGTATCCTGGGCTGTATCCAGAGCAGCGTGGCCAGCAGGGCGAGGGAGAGGATTCTGCCCCTCTGCTCTGCTCTTGTGAGACCCCACCTGGAGTGCTGCATCCAACTTGGGGTCCTCAACATCAGAAGGATATCGACCAGTTGGAGTGAGTCCAGAGGAGGCCATGAAGATGCTCAGAGGGCTGGAGCACCTCTGCTACAATGAAAGCTGAGACAATTGGGGTTGTCCAGACTGGAGAAGAGATGGCTCTGGGGACACCTTATTGCAGCCTTCCCGTACCCGAAGGGGCTACAAGGAAGCTGGGGGGGACTTTTTACAAGGGCCTGTAGTGACAGGACCAGGGGTAATGGGTTTAAATTGAAAGTGGGGAGGTTTAAATTGGATATCAGGAAGAAGTTCTTCCCGCAGAGGGTGGTGAGGCACTGGGACAGGTTGCCCAGAGAAGCTGTGGATGCCCCATCCCTGGAAGTGTTCAAGGCCAGGCTGGACGAGGCTTTGAGCAACCTGGTCTAGTGGAAGGTGTCCCTGCCCATGAGAAGGTGTGGGAACTAGATGGTCTTTAAGGTCCCTTCTGACTCAAATGATTGTATGATTCTCACTGATGAGAGAAAATACTGAGTTTTGAGTAGGACTCACAGTCCATACAGTGGCATGTATACATTGTTAAACAGGCAACAAGAAAGGGAATCTTTGGTTGACTGTAGGAGCATAAGGAAGAAGGAGAACATAAGAAATACAGGTTTGTGCTGCAAGAGGACAGGACAGATGAAGTAGCTGAGAAACAGAATAGGTTCTGCAGTGTATCTGATAATGAGAAGAAATACACTATTCAGAAATAGTGTATTAATATTAATGTTAATATTCTTTTTTAGCTGGTATTCCATCTCCTATTTATTTTGGAGCTTTGATCGATACCACTTGCTTGAAGTGGGGTACTATGACTTGTGGTGGAGAAGGAGCATGTAGGATGTATGACGTTCTCACATACAGGTATATTTTCTACTTTATTTTTATTTCTCCTTCTTAGTGTATTATTACATGCATAGAGGTATAATTCCATGCTCTTTATCTTTTTCTAACAGAAAACTTACTCCTGTGTTAGAGATTTGACACAATACTTTTCTTTGGCATTGGCTGGCTTTATCAAGAGCAACCTTTGCCCCAGACGTTGGAACACCCTTTAAACCAAAATGTTCTGGTACCATAATTATATTCACTAGTGGCCTTTCATGAGAACGGGCCTTAAAACTCTGAATTCTGATAAAAAATTAAAAGCACTAAACCCTTGTGGGGAAAAATGTCAGGTGTTTAATGGCTGACTACGCAATATCTTTGAAGAGAAAATGGTTGAAACAGTACTTGACTTAAAAGAGAGGAGAAGGTTATAGAGAGGATATAGTTGCACATGTTGGAAATTGGCCCAGAAGTGTTACTCAGGTGGTCTGAGCTGCCCTTTCCAGGGCTCTTACTTTTCCCTGTGGAGGAAGCCGTAAGGGTACCAGGTGGTGAACTCTTCTGGCTAAATTGGTTGCCTGAAGTTGGGCAATTTAAATAGCTCTTTTGCTGACGTTGCTGTATTCTCTGTTCTCATACTGATTTATCTTCTGTGAGGTCCAAAAGGATCAGGGCACAAGCTTTAGCACAGCTAAGATAATTTTGCAAAACCATGTATGCTAAACTGTTTTGCTATTTTTTTCATGAATATATATATTTAATGCTCCTCCTTTATTTCAGGTGGATCTATCTTGGCCTGCCAGCAGTATTACGTGGAGTGTCCTATATCCCAAGTGCACTAATTCTCCTTATTTTAAAGAAGAAACTTAAATCTGAAAGCCAAGACTTATTAAATACAGCAATAGAAATGCAGGATAAAGAACAAGAGCCATTGAAATAGCATTTCAAAGCAGGACATGTTGTGAAAACGCCTTGCAGTGTAAATTTTGGATATATCCTTGTGAAAGTTTTCATACTTCTAACTAGTGAAGACTTGGAAAGAGATTAAACACATAGTTGTTTCTTAATTATATTATAAAAGTATAAGGTCATAAACAGAAGTTGCAGGAAAAGATGTGTTTGGTGCAAAAGAACAAAGAGTATAAATAAGAAAACATGGAATGCAAAGTTTGAATTGTTTGAGCAAAAGGCTGTCAAGCAGAAACATATGTTTTCAGTCTGATTTCACTGAAGATAGTGGGAGTTCCATCCTGGAATTCTCCAGTGGCTTCTGCCACAGGCTCCCTCAGTAGACAGGATTTGCAGCTTCTTTGGGCCTGAGTTTTCCATAAATTTATTTAATTATGCTGTTAGTCCTTTTAGGCAGGGACTGTTTGCTATTCTGCACAGTGTAGGTGGTCAGTATATTGACAACCTGGTTTATGACACGGCCTGGGTGCTGTGGTAATAATAACAAATTATTAATTAAAAAATAATTAATTAATTTTAAAAAAAGGCAATGTTATGGTGATATTTTAAGGTTTGCATAGAGTATGGACAAGGAAAAGCTCTCGAGATTTATTACTTCAGTTGTATTCACTCTAGAGGGGAATAACACATACATTAACCA